TTATATTAAAAAAACGTGCCCAGGTGCTAAATTTTTTACACTGTTATTTAAATTCAGAACACGCTTTCTAGCGAAAGATGCGTTAACGAAGGCTACGAGAATTTTCAATTCTTGACGACCCTTCGTTAATGACTTTTAGCATCTTCACTTATAAGCGGAAGTATGATATGACAACAGGGTAATACCAGTCGCGGCCGGTGAATAATAACATAAAACATGACCATTTTCCATTTAATTTGACAATTTCGACGTTATCAGTTTTGTGCTGAATTGACCTGTCTTACATGAATAGAAAATAGTACATTACATTATGTTACATTACATACTTACTAATATACTCTGCCGGAGTATAACACTTATACGCCGTTACACATGTTTTTTCATAGCGATTTAAGGTAGTTTACCTGTACCTACATACAGGTATAGGTGTTTATGAAGGTGATCCTTCTAAATATGAATGTCATTATTTAAATTAAAAATTCCGCACTATTCAGAATAAAGATTGTTTGAAAATAAAATATTGTATTTTATTCGGAGTATAAGTATTCTTCATGTGACTTGCATGGATTTGATTCGCCTCGCTGCGCTCGGCGTTCAAACTTCCATGCGCGTCACATAAGTATTACTTATACTCCTAATAAAATAAATATCTATGTTACTCATTTGTAAACAATAAATAAAAAATTAATACATAGGTAATACAATTTTAAAATTTATAATTTTTTCCTCAATTTTTTTGTCATACAAGCCTTGATTTTTGATTGTTGATATAACTATGACTACTTAAGGGTGAGGTCGTTGTTTATAAATAAGTTGTCAAATAAGTTTGCTCTTTATGAGTTTGCTGCATATTGAGTTTGATGACAAATTTGCTTTTCGCATTTTTTTCTTCAAAAAATAAATGTACCAGAAGCCAATATCAAAGAAGCCGCAGTTGTAGCAAATAGCTTATTACCAGAGAAGTCTTCGAGAAGGTACGAGCAAGAATATACAAATTTTAAAACTTGCCAAGAAAAGAATAGCGTAGTTGCTGTGACAGCGGATGTTTTACTAACTTACATTAACCAACTTACTAAAAGATTTAAACCTAATACCTTATGGTCAAAATGGTCAATGTTGAAAAGCTGTGTGCAAGTTAAAGAAAATATTTCAGTTGACAGGTTTGTTTTTCTTTGTGTTACCAAAATAACTCATTTTTTGTTTGTTTTGTAGATATTATAAAATTCTGGCTTTTTTAAAGAGGAAAAGCGAGAATTATGTCCCGAAAAATGCAAAAGTTTTAACTAAGGAGCAAGTTGAACAGTTTATTATAGAAGCTCCTGACGAAAATTGGTTATGTAAGGTTGGTTGTTATGTAAGGTTATCACCATTTTCGGAATCTTTGGTACTTGCCGATGTGACGAGCTGCTGTCTTTGACCCTAAACGATGTGGAGGATGCTGGTAGATACATTATCGTCACTTTAAGAAATACAAAAAATCATACAAGTAGAAGATTAACTATCACCGACGATGACTGCAGCTTTCAGCCCTGCAATAGTGAGGAGGGTGAAGTAAATATTGGGGTGCCCCTTGGCCCTGTGCTTTTTTTGGTCTACTTAATGATTTAATGTCAATATTACCTGCGAATGATTGTATCTGTATATGTTTTGCTGATGACAGTGTAATATTAATTAAAGCAAAAACAACATGGAAAGAACCGCATGAGTTGTCGGAGCATTACATATCTATTGTTAAGTTATGGATGGACCAGGCCCGGTATTCTCGTAGTCAAAAACGCTCAGCGTTTTTGACTCGCTAACCACTTTTGAGGTGACAGTCGCTCAGCACCTGTCTAAAAACCTGTGATAGGTATTCTCGTTTATTTAACGCTATGCGTTTTTCTAAAGCGCTAAGCGTTTTGAAAACAGCTACCTTTTGGTTGCTGTTTTGCTGTTCGCCTGGAAAATCATAACCCATATAATTGTCTGTTCATGTTTTGTCATTGTCACTCTGAGCGCTGACCATTATTCTTTTAATTCCGAATAAGAATTTTTGTGCCAATAAAAGTGCTCGAGCAAATTGTCATATCCGATTCCGGTAAACATGGCATTTCCATATATTGGGGGAATCCTCTTGGACAATTTAGAAAATGAAATGGAAAGACAACGGTTCATACCCGATGATCCATTTGAATTTTCCGATTTCAATTTTATAAAGTTATATAGACTGAGAAAACAAGATGTGGAAAATTTAGAGGAGCTTTTGGAACCATTCCTTCCTCAAAGAAATAGGGTGGATGCAATCAGCAACCGTATCAAGGTAAGCATCAGCAATAGTTCGGGTTCTTCACCAATTGCAAATAATTAATTACCTCTTTCTGTTTAATGAACTTATAACATTAATACTGACATCCTTTTTTTTTTAGATTTTATCTTCGCTGAGATTTTTTGCAGCGGGTAGCTATCAGCTAGATGTTGGCCGAAACCACTCAATTACAATGAGCCAACCATCGGTTTCCCGCAGTTTACATAAGGTGTTAGATGCCCTCAACCAGCCCGCAATTCTTAACAGATTTTGTCACTATCCCAATACCCTAGAGGAATTGAGGAATACCAGGGAAAGGTACCCATATTTCGATACCCTATTCTGCTATACTATTCTGCGCACATTCTTCTAAAACGAAGTTGATAGTTTTTTTTTTTGAAGTGGTTGTGTGCTGTGATAAAAAAAAAATTAAAATTAGCCTAAAACCTTGATATGAACCGAAAGCCGAACAAAACTTTTTTTATAGTTATTAAGGTATCAAGGGTATTTATTATAAGGATATTAACGTATAAATACACCATTGACCTCAAGCGTTAATATCCTTAATACGTCAACGAGAAAATTTTGAATGAATTTTGAATAAACTATTCTAAAACAAATCAAGTACCTGCAAAAAAAAAACATAACGCCCTAGGGCGTAATTCAAAAATAACGCCCTAGGGAATTATTTTGGATTAAACTGACTTTGACATATTGTCATTATCTCTCGAATAATATACCAGATGGACATTAAATTTTATATAATTTAATTATTGTTAATATTATAGTGCATAATGTTTTCCAGATTTTTTGCTGAAACTAATGTGCCAGGCATTGTGGGTGTTGTAGATTGCACTCACATAGCCATTGTTACTCCGGTGGAGAATGAACATGTTTATGTCAATCGAAAGAACTTTCATTCTTTGAATGTTCAGATGGTAAGCTGCAAAAATTAACTTGATTTGACAGTGCACACAAATGAAACACACATAGACATCAAGATCTTATTTATACAAACTTAAATGTCACCAGTCCTTTATATGTTTTAGATCTGCGATGAAAAACTGAAAATCATGAATGTTAATGCACGCTATCCTGGAAGTACCCATGATAGTTTTATTTGGAGGAATTCCAATGTGGAACAATTTTTGAGGACTCTACCCGAAGATCAAATGGGTAGTTTCTATCTATTAGGTAGGCGTTCTATAACTTGGATAGATAGATACTTTTTACCGTCAGAATAGGTGTGATGTGATCCTTCTCTTTAAACTTTTAAGCTCATTGGGTGCTATGCACCCCCACTTCGAAGTATCCTCTAATAATATAATTTTCTTTTAATGAAACAATTTTTTAAGGTGACTCTGGGTATCCTCTGCGACCATGGCTAATAAATCCATACTTGCCAGAGCCAGCTCCCGGAACGCCAGAACACAGGTTTAATCAACAAATGCGTCAAATAAGAGTTCTAATTGAAAGATGTTTTGGCCTACTAAAGAATCGATTTAGGTGTCTCCTTAGAGATAGAGTGTTACACTATGCCCCAATAACTGCATCAAAAATAATTACAGCTTGTGCTGTTTTACATAACTTGTGTCTGGAGAATAATATTCCACTTTATAACGGTGATGGGGAGCACATAAACGATGAAATTGATTTTGACAATGCATTAATAGCAGAAAGGGCCAATAATTTGATTGAAAATAACTTTTTGGCACGTGGCCGACAAATCAGAAATTTTTTGGCCAGGAACTATTTTTAAAACAGGTGAAATTATGAAATATTTCTTTTAATAAATATTTTTATTTTAAATTTTATTCACAGACAGGTCAACAAACTAAAATTATAAAAAATCTTTTCAGGATAGGAGTGAAAAAATTTCTGACGCAAAAAACATTAGTTTTAACGAATTTTTTTGATGATGATACCCCGTTTTACATATTATGGCTGTTCTTGCTCTTCGGCCTCTTTACCTAGTCTTAGCTGTTCGATGGAATGTTTTCAAATTTCAGATTTTTATTGTTATGTTCTAATTTATTTATTTTTTAGACATTAACCTATATTTTATAGCATATATTGATATGTATTTTTATTTTTTTATTTCTGTATCGTTTGTGTTATTCATATTAGCTTTGTTCATGAACTTTAAACAATAAAGCGTGGTTTGATTTGATTTGAAGATTGAAAAGTTTTCCGACTGGCGTAGTAACCTTTTGGCCATTGTTCCACTCAACAACCAATATGTATCGGTTAGCAATAGGATATTGGCACAGAATGTGGATAATAAGTTTTTTCAAGTTTTGGCCCTGTGCATAATATTCTTCTGTACAAGATAAAATAATAATAATTTGAAAAATTGTTTATAAATAAAAAACCTTTCTGAACAATGAGTATTTTATTCAAAAATAAGTAACTTCCCATGTATATTTGGTTTTTGTTTTTAATAATAAACCTCAAATAACAAAATAAGTAGGTACTTAACTTCCTATAAGTAACAAACATTAAATAATTATAGATACTATTTGATTGCCCATTAAACATTAAAAAAAGACAACAGTTGACATAACATACCTATTAAAGATAATAACGCTTTCCGTCAACGTATATCCCTTGGTCCAGAGGCCCTCGGGAAATACACCATTGACCTTAAGCGTTATTATCCTTCTAACCTAAGATACGTTCAGGAACATAACAAAACTTATTATTTGAGACAATACACTCACTCTAGCTTTTTTATCTCCAAAAACCTTTCTAGTTCATCTGCAATCCTTTGTTGGATTTCAAGATGTTTCTTCTGTATTTGGAGGCTTTCTTCCATTATTTCTAGTTTACGAGCATAATATTTCTCACGAATTGTATTAGTTGCTTCTGTAGCTTTAACTAAATCAAAAGCAGCCCTATTGGTGGCCTGCCTAGGGCGATTCCTTGACGTGCCACATGCCTTCACAGGAGGTCTAACTGTCGAAATAAAGGGTCCTATGATTGAACGTTTACGTTAAAATTAACATAAACCTGTTATGTTAGGCTAACAGGGAATATATAACATATAAAATAACAGTGAATGTTATATCGGTATGATTGACGAAATCGATAACAGAAAATGTTAAGCTGGCTGTTAGGAATGGAAGAAAGTATTTGTACCTAGCTTCACTTTGGTTTCAAAATTGAAATTGAAATTTTTTTCAAAACTTCGAGACGCGAAAAAACACCTCCTGATGAGTGGACATCATTTGTACACGAAAATAAAAGCACTACTAGAACCATTGTCTTATATAAAATAAAAAACAGTTCCAACTACCTACTAAGAATTATTCAGAATAAATTTTTAGAATTTAGACCTTCAGTTCAATTCGAATGGATGAAATCCTTAGTCTTTGAGGAATATTGAAATGAAGCAATTATAATACTGCACCGATTCTTTTGGAACTTTTGGAAGTCTAGTATATTTAGTAATAAAAACTTTTCAGGAGTTGACCCCTGGTATGCATTCTTTGAGTGTCCAATTCACTCCTCAAATAGTGAATTAATATTAAAGTTTTGTACCTCATAATTGATTAATATAAAATAGTAATGAATCTTATAACCTAGGTACCTCCTAGTTTGATTCTCTTCTTGTATTATGTGAATTAATTACCCCGTCATTCAAAAAATAAAATAAAAAAACATTGGTAACATGTACGTTAAGCACTTAACGGCATGTTATTTGGAGCTGTTGAGGAGATATGTTAAATTAGAACATAACAGGCGGGAAATAACAGTAATCTGGTATGAAAAACTTTCCATCATACGAACTTGCATCGTTACTGTTAAAACTCGGCCTAACATGTACGTTACGGATAACGTAAACGTTCAATCATAGGACCCATTACCTTTTGATGTTGATGGTCTTTTGTTAGCCATTACAACCATGTCTTCATTTTCTTCACTTTCTTGGGTGTTTTTTAAGTAATCCCATTTACTTATATCAAAATTTTTATTTTCTGGTAAAGGTAGCCCCACCTCAGGAGCATCAAGACCAGTAATTAAAATATCTCCTCCTGAAATAAAAGCAAACTATTACCTAGTAGGTACCTCGTTTTTTGGAAAAAAATTTACACATAAATTGAAAAGCTGCTTTAATTCTGAGTGAGTTTGGTAAACTCCTGATAGTCGTAGCTCCGAATAGGTATTATTTTCAAAAATTATTTTTTTATATTACGAATCAAACAATCCACTCTTATTGAACAACACTTCAATACTTACCAATGATGTCCAAAATTTTGTCATCCTCTGCATCGATTATGTCGCCTGTGTGAGGCCCTCCACCTGTTTTATTATGCTCTTTCTTGTTCTCCGAAACTTTTTTCTTTGTTCGGGTTTTCAGATCACTCCAAGTCTAATTTAAAAAAAAGATTTGTGTGGATATCTACATGCAAGAAAAAAATTCACTCAGAAGCACAATATATTTTTACCTTTCTCCATTCTTTCCATCCTTTCATGGCCCCTGGAATAGAATTTAATTTTCCACTTAGCTCCTGCCATAACTTTGTTGCGTCGGCATTGGTATGCTGATTTCCTTGTTTTTGTTTCACTAATTGTGGATGCTCTTCCAGGTATGAAATCAAGAGTGATTTTTGCTGTGGAGAAATTACCTTCTTAGCCATTGGAACCAATGACATGCCTTCACACAGATTTATAAGCTTCTTCAGTAAAAGCCAACAAACATATCATTCGACTATTTGACAATCTTTCATTTGAAATTGTCAAATTCTGTATTCGGAACACTGGCAAATTTGGCGATGCCAAATTGTGCTATGCGAATTCAATCTAGACGCTGCGCTTAGCAACGAGAATACCGAAACTGGACGCTTAGCGAAACTGCTGTACGAGACGCATACCAGGCGATTCGCTTAGCGCTTCCAAAACGTATCGTTTTTGAGCTGTTTTACGAGAATACCGGTCCAGAACCGCTTGACATTGAATGAAAACAAAACACTTTATATTCCTTTCTCTCTTAAAAATGTTAATAGATTGAATTTACCAGCCCTAAAAATACATACCCTTGAATGCCTACAGAAAACATGTTCATGCTCGTGCCAGCCATCAATTAACTCCCAAACAAATTGTAAGTATCTGGGAGTATACATAGACTCAGATTTGAAATATGATTCTCATATTGACTGCATCGTTAAAAAAGTCAGGAAAACGATCTACAAATTTTATTAACTATGAGAATTCATGCCCTTAAAACTAATTAAAATAGTTTACCAGTCATTAGTGGAGTTTGTTTTGCGGTATGGAATAACTCTGTGGGGTAGTACATATTCAAATGTACTTAACAACATTGAAATTTTACAGAAGTGCTTAATTAAAATTGTTTATAAAAAGCCAAAAAGGCACCCTACTGACTTAATATTTAGAGACTCTGGATTTTTGACTATCAAACAAATTTATGTAAGCAGTGTTATAAGGTATATGAAAAAATTTAACACATACAAAAATAATATAAGTCACGGCATAACGACACGATTAATTACCTCTGAGAGTATGGTAACACCGGGGTCAAGTCTAAGCGCTACTCAGCGACATGTAAGTTTCATAGGTCCACGTATTTATAATATTGTTGTGATCCTTCAGTGTTTTGCCTTGGTTAAAACTACTTTTGTTTTTGGTTTGAAACTTGTAGCTTTATTAGGTAATGGAATATAGAATGAAATTGAACTACAGCAAAAGTAAGACTTATTTTAGAGAGAGTTTTAACAAAATGTGTTACTACGACTGAAGCTGTCTTAAGACTGTCTTCTTGCTTCACTAGATCTCTTACAAATCGACCTTTACATCCCTTCTAAAACGTTTCTAAAACCTACATAATTACAACTGGAAAACCCTAAATAAATATTGGCAATAAATGACAGTCTGTTCGCCCAAAGAATGACCATTAAGGATATTTGGGAATTTTGGGGTTTATGGTGGACAAATGTTTAATTTATTTACATACAATATCTTTGGGTTCTTTAACAGAAAGTATGGGTCATATAATAATATTGCTTTCGGCGACGGCGAGACATTATTTGGGAAAGTATTCGAGGGTCGTAAAAGGTACAATGTCATGATATTATGGAGGAATATGACACTTCCCCCCTTGAAAAAAAAAAGAAATTTTCATAAAGAAATTTCTTCAAAACAAATCCTTTAAGAAAGACAATTATAAAAAACTAACGTAAAATAATATGAAGCTTAACTTAATATAAAGGTAGGAATAAAAAGGAAAGAGCAAAAAAAAAATGTAAACTAACTTATACCTAAGAATATACAAACATATCTTTTACTAAGACATTTTTATGGACGGTCTTGGGGTGACTGATCTTCGCATGGACATGGAATTCGTAGTGGATGTGGTTGCTTCATTGGAACTTAGAAGGTTATTTAGTTCAATCCCTTCGCCCATTTTTGTTCTGGCTTCTTCTTCTAGAATTCTTGATATGTTTTGACTTGTCCCTGGAGTGGTATTTATATTTGTATTGAAAAGCTTAATACAGCAGGAATCCGATATGTGCTTTGGGCTTTTAGTACAACAAAACATACTTTTAATGCATGATATTAATCCGCACCACTTAAGAAAATTGTACACTATTACCAAAAGAACAACTGACGCGATAAAAGAAATAATGATAATGAACCAATGAGAGTGTTGAATAATAAATGGCTTCTTCAATTCTTCATCCAGCAATTGGTCCAGTTGTCCAAGTTTGTGATTCGCAAACTGTAAATCGTCCAATTTGATATTGGAAAGTCTTATTGGTTGTAGTGTGATTGGTGTGTTGTTGAATCTGGCTTCTTTGGCATAGCAGCAATCGTCAAGTGCAATATTGATATCTGAAATTTGTTTTGAAATATTCCGTGTAATGATTCCTGAGCTTTCCAAGATAATATTTTGAGTATAGCCTCTGCATTTGGGTTCCAAACTTAACAGCCCTGTTGATGCAATTTTTATATCTTCGATTGGAAAATTATCACAAGCCAGAGTAAGCTGTAAGGGCGTCGATAGTACGAAAAGCCAAGAGTTGTCGCTCAGTGGATGCCATATCTCGAAGTCTGCTTTGGAAGTAACGGTATGACATTCAGCCGGGACTTTGGTAGAAAATGATGTAAACAATGCGACTTCGCACTAAGGAGGTTCTTGAATCCTTGTAGCTTGAGTGTTTTGGCAGATGAATTCCTCTTCTGTGATCCTTGTACACTTGGTAAGGTCTTTCATTTGCACATAACTAACCTTACTAATACTTATCAGCAGGTAAGGAAAATCAGGTAGGATATAGGAATGAATATCAGAAAAATTATGAGGTGTTGGAAGTGGCAATAATTTGAACAGATTGTAGGTCATTTCGTCAGTCAATGGAATTTCAATTGCAAAAATAATTATGTTATCAGAATGAAAAACTTTTAGTTTACTGATCTCAATATATTTGTAAATAGTTGAATAAGATATTGGGAACGGTAATTGAAGTCCGTTGTTCAATTTGATTTCCGAAAGTACATTTAATAATTGTTTTGGTGTTATAACTTTCGGATGTAGGATATTATGTCTGGCCATTGTTATAGCTGAGATTAATAAATCATATTCTTCGTTCAGATCTTCTAATATTTGTGTGAGTAAGGCAATATGTGAACTGATGATAAGTTTCAGTTTGTTTACGTGAATACGTTTATTGGTATCTGCTGAGAAGGAGTTGAAAATTTTAATATTAGAGTTTAGAGTTTCTTGATTAGATTTAAAATTTCGTATACTAGAATTAAAATTAGATATCGTACTAGAAATTATGCCAATTTGTTGTTTCATCAAAAGTTGTGTATTTCTATTACTTTGAATTAGAGTTTTTATCGATTTGTCATAAAATTTAGCATCATCGGCATCAGGCATTCCAAATAGCCAATTGAATGCGTAAGAAGCACCATCAAAAATTCCTCTTTTAGTCTTTTTCGTATTAGTACCGATTATTTCGCTGACAACTTCAGATTTTCCGAGCAATTTAATAAACCGAGATTGGACGACTTTTATAGTATCTTTGCATAGAAAATTTTCAGATTCAACAATTTCATTACTATAACATAGATCGAATGACTTTTTCAATATTCCAGAAATAAATTTTATTTTCTTTTCCTATCCAGTTACATTAAGATGAGTAAATAGGACAAATTTAGAATTTGAAAGTTTAACTTGGCCAAGATTATTATAATAAAGACCGGCATGATCGTGGAGATTAGTAATGTGATAATTATCGCCTCTAACACAAACGGAAATGGAAGTTAGTACAAGTAGGAACAGTAGATTAGTGTTATTAATCATTGTTGCTTTGATCTGAAACAAAAGGTTTTATCATATTAGTATGATACGTAATAATTTTTTTTCCTATTTGTAGTTGAATATTATTGTTATTGAAAACTTTAGTGACTTTATATGGGCCTTTAAAGTTAGGACTCAGTTTTTTATTTAGACCAGGGGAAATATGTTTATTTACAATGTAAACCATATCTCCTATTTTATAATGATTTTTTTTTATTTTGTTATCGTAATAAGTCTTCGATTTTTCTTTTGATTTCAAGATGTTGTTACGTGCCTGTTCTTGAGTTATGTTAAGTTTGAGTTTTAGGTTGCCTATGTAATCGTCATATGAATATTTAAATTCGGGTCTGCTAGTTATAGAGCTTGGCAAAAATGGTTTGGATCCAAATAATAGTTCATATGGTGTATAGTTAGTAGAAGAGTGAGTATGTGTATTGTAAGCGAACATTGCAAAAGGTATAAATTCGTCCCAGTTGTTTTGTTTGTCGTTAATGTAGTGTTTTAAATAATCTTTCAAAGTAAGGTGTGAACGCTCCAAAGCGCCATTAGATTCAGGGTGGTAGGGTGTGCTTGTGACATGCTTAGTTTTAAATAATTTTACGAGTTCTTTTATTAAATTGGACATAAAATCAGTACCTTGATCAGATAAAATAGTTTTGGGAATACCGAATAAAGTTATAAATTTGCATAATTCATTTGATACTGTTATTGCTTCATGATTCGGTATAGGAATGGCATACGAATATTTCGTTAAATCGTCTTGCATCGTAAGGAGAAATCTAGATCCGTTTTCCGTAATTGGAAGAGGTCCAACTATATCAATAGCAAGTTTTTCGAAAGGCTTTTCGCTAGTTGTTGTTATCATCATAGGAGCTTTACTGGGTTTGAAATTTGTTTTGTTTATTTGACAAGAAGGACATTTTTTTATATATTTTTTTATGTCAGTTTTCATGTTCTGCCATTTATAACGTTCTTTTATCCTTTTATATGTTCTTGTAAAACCTGAATGTCCTGCTAGTTTTGAATCGTGATTTTCTTTTAGAATTGCGGAAATTTCCTCTTTTGAACTAATAATAATTTTTTCTGAACTAATAACACATATTTTTATATTCGTGTCCTTGAAAAGATAGTGTATCATTTCAAAATACATTGATTGTTTTAAATTTGGAGAATTTTTCGTTATGTCAGGTAAATAGAAGTATTTTATATTATCTCTGATTAGTTCAGTACGTAAGTTCCGGAGTGAATAAAAAACGTCTTTATAAGAAATATTTTCAAAATGAAAAGTCTTCACGAACATTAAATATGATTTTTTATTGTTATTTTGTAACTTATAAGTTGAATATAATTCAAAGTTTGATTTTATGCTATCGTTGAAATCGAATT